CTTCAAAAGGGAAACCCATTTTCCTACTATTTACTTGAATTAAAAAAATCCTCCAAACAGGAACTAATCCACAGAAGGAACTTGAAGCAAAAAGCCCAGATAAAGAAATAAACTTTGTCACACTGATTTCGGATTTCAATCAAGATTCAAGACACGCCCTTTATCTAATACCCACTCTGGCATTCCTTCGAGCACATGGTGGGCACTTTGTTACTACAATCAACTCCATCATACTTCATACATGCTATATATTTACCAGAACCATCAGAAACCACCAATACAAAGGCAAAACAGAACACCCAGAAGAAAATTAAAGCAACCCATCTAATCAAACACGAAGACAACCTTAACAATAAATCTGTATCAACTAACACTAAATTAGAAAACTTACAAAAATTCTAAAGTTGATGCTGATGGCCTTCGGCGAATCGGCTGGCTTGGGTAGCATGAGGAACATGAGCAGCAGACAATTAGTGACTTGGGTGAATCAGATTCTGATGATGACCTTCGGAAAATCGGCTGGCTTAGGTATTATTGGTAAAGTGAATTTGATTACTATTCTGTAAGATGGTGAGTGCTTGATCATGGGAAGGTTCTCACGTGAGTTTTTAAATTTTTTTAATGACTTGGCTCAAAACGACGTCGTTTTGGCCAAGTCATTTAAAAAAAAAAAAGGCTTTTTTCTTCCTCCCCTGTTTTGCACAGCGTGCCATGGCTGCTGTTCTTCTCCACCGTTGCCCAGACTTGGGTGGTCCTTGAGGATCCTTACGACTATTTATCTGAGCTTCCGGGTGGTCCTGGGACCACCTTGATCCCTTAATAGATCCGCCCCTTGGTACCTATTATCAATAAAAATGATAATGATAATTATTTGTTCTCTTTCTATTGCTTTTTCGTATGCATGTTTTATTTGTGTTAAAACTAGTTGGAAAGTAATTAATAGACTTGTTTGGATTATAACATTACATGGGCAAAAAAAATAAATAAATCATATGATTACATGCTAATAATTTTAGCTGGGCCCATGAATCTCCCAATGACCTATTTGCTTCTCCTACATTATCCGTGGAACATCATCAACAATCATTTCAAGCACTTTCACCACGGAACCAAACATGGAAATGATACTAATCAAGGTACCATAATGTGAGTTCCAACGTGTGTCACTGGCACGCTTGGGACTAGTTTCTTGATTTAAACCATGGCCCATTATAAGACAATCGTTTTCAAAAGCTTCCATAAGATTCTTTTGTAGTTACTCTCTCAGTGCATCACGACGCTTACAAGATACTCTAACAATAGTAACCACACTATTTGCCAATGTGAAAAAAGTGACAATATCAACATTTCCCTTTGCCACCTCAACAAGAGCTAGTTGAAGTTGAAGTGCAAAACAATGAACATAAAAAACACAAGGATTTTCTCTTAATATCCTTGACTTAATACATTGAACTCACCTTTCATGTTACTAGCTCCATCATAACCTTGTCCTCGTAGCATGGAAATACTCAAGGTCCAAAACTATGTCGTTTATTTTTTTGGCTCTTGGTGTTTATTTTTTTTAATTAGACTAAAGGTCCAAAACTATGTCGTTTTGACAAAGTAATATTTATTAAAAAATAATAAGAAGATCCACTCTTCTTTCAAACATTTTCAAACAGTTAAAGGGCATGTATGGAAAATCGACACCTTTTGCATCCTGCTTGGTGAAGCCAATAATGGGTCCAGGTTGGGTGTCGACTGCTTGGACCTGTGAGACTAGTAGAGCCTGCTGGATCTTCATCTTCGTAGAGTTGCTGGTGGCCCCTAAGTGCTCGGATTTAGCGAAGATGCCATTAATTCGAATCGTCTTGGTTGGCGGCTCCTCGTCATTGTCTGCATTCCTTCTAGGCTACACAGCTGACTTGTCCAAATATCTGTCGACCTTACCTTCTTTCACAAGCTTCTCTAGGTAGTTCTTCCAAGTGTAGCAGTCATCGATTGTGTGACCGGGAACTTAGTGGAACGCGCAGTATTTGATGTGATCCAACTTGGAAATATCTCCCTTCGATTGTTTAGGCAGCTTGAACCATAGCTCGTTCTTCATGTTGCGAGGATTTAGTGGATCACAATTGAGAATTTAGAGTAGTTCTTAGTCGTCAAGCCTTCTTTGGTCGTGGGTCGGTTCTTACGTTTGGCCTCTTGCCTGCTTTTGCTGGACTACTTCCCGTCCTCCTTCCTTTGAGCCACTGTCAACTCTTTTCGAGGATGCTTCGGTGCCTTGTCTGCTCGTCGAGCCTCGTCCCAAAGTGCATGCTTCTCTGCTAAAGCAAATAAGTCTACTAGAGTCAGATCTTATTTCATGATCATTTCTCCGAACAACAGGTGGTCTGTTGGGTGTCCTTTTTGAAAGGCTGCACTTGCTATCGAGTCGTTGCATCCGAAGATCTTTGTCTTCTCTGCTTTGAACCTCTTCACGTAGTCGCAGAGCGACTTCTTTAGGTTTTTCTTCACATTGAAAAAGTGGTCGGACTTTTTCTTGATCGAGCAATATGAGGAGTATTCTTTAGTGAAAACTAAGGAAAGATCATCAAAACTCTAGATGGATCGTGGCGGAAAGGTGTGAAACCAATCTTGCGCCTCGCCTTGTAAAATGGTGGCGAATATTTTGCACATAAGGGCATCGTTGTTCCAATAAAGGACCATCGCTCTTCAGTAGTGCTTCAAGTGCCTCTCTAGATCTCCATCTCCTTTGAAAGATGTGAAGTGTGGCATGCTAAACTTGCGTGGAGGCTCTGCCACACTCCGATAGTCAACATGAGCAGCCTTCTAGGCAAAGCGTTCATTCGCTGCTAGGCCCGCAATGAGCATTATCCACATCACATCGGAGCAGGCAGCACGACGAACGGAGAGAAACAGTCACTCAATCCAGCTCAAGTTCAACCAGCAGCCTACGAAGAAATCCCTCGCCTGCTAGGAATCTACCTCATGCACCGCAGCCGCGGCATAGACGGGTCGAGCATGGAGAAGAGCAGCCTAGACCAGTAGGTTAAAACCGAGGGCTCCGCTACCCCAACAAAGGCAAATTCAGGAAGAGGTAGAGATGTTCCTCAATGAACGGTTGAGTGATTTCCAACGCAACAAAGTGGCCGATGAAGCACTACAGCGGGATATGACCAACATGAGTAGGTCACCCTTCACGAACAGGATCGAGAAGCCAACTCTAATCTTCAAAAATGCAGCGTCAAGGTATCCATTTACATTCACGGAACTTTGGAGGTCAGCACCCAAGTTATCTATGGACGTTCACCGAAGTTTGGAGGGTCAGCTGACCCTTCCTGCCCCTTAATGCATCAGCCTCTGGTGGAGGAAGGGGGCTTGGGTGGTGGGGGACGGTTTGAGGTGTTAACGGGTTTGGGAGGGTGGGGGGATAGGTTGAGGATGGGACGAGTTGGTATGGGATACTAGGAGGACAAGTGAGGTGGGGAATGGATGGGTTTGGGCAAGAGCAAGAGGGACGATTACAAAATTTTAGAAAATATTAATTACAATTTTAGATATATTATAAATTCGTAGAAAATATTAGAAAATTTTAACAAATATAATATATTTTTTATATATTATAAATTTGTACGAATTATTAGAAATTTTTAGGAAAGTTTGGAATTTTGAAATTGTTTGCAATTTTCCTATAGATATCGAGGTCGCGCAATATCCGCATAAGGTTCGAAGGAAGGGTCATGGTTGAATGCAGCCCACGACATTTGTGTGCGCACACCGAAGTCCATGCAAGGTTGAGTCATGCAATAGGAGCCATAATCCGCATGAGGTGCCCATGACAATCTTTAGATGGAGAAATATCTCCTCCGAGATGAAGCATGTGTTGATGGTAGAACTCTCGGTAAAGGTGTTTTTTTTAATTTAGCATTTTTAATAATCTTAATTATTTGAGATAATTATTTATTTAATAAATGTATTTATAAAAATACACTTCTTTTTTGTCTATCTCAGAACAACTTCGAGATCGACCTAGAAGTATCAAAATACATAACCCAGTTGTGAAATGAACGGTTCATGGAGTAGAAGTACGAGTTGTGCAACCACTCCAGGACTTTAGAAATTCATGATCAAGCTTTGACCCATCCGCTCTATTGTTTTGCGTATAGAATGGATGAGTGACACTGGCTCTACGATTATTTTGAGAATTTTTAAATTCTCAAAATGTATGTCTTCTGGAGTAAAGCAGTTGGACGAGTGAAGCAGTTTCCAATCGAGAAAAGTAGTTCATTGATGGTTTTCAATTTTAATATAATTGTACAAACACTTTGGCATTATTAATGAATAATTTCTTTGTTAATATTATGATATTAATATAATTACATTTAAATATAATTTAATATATTTTTATTTTTTAATATTAAATAAGGTTTGCCTGACGAATGTACATTTTCAATTTTATTTTTCTTAATAAAGCTTACCTGGCAAAGGCAAAGCTTTTGTCGGGTAAAATAAGGTTTATAATTTTTTTTTCGTAAATTTATACATTGCCCGAGGAATGTAGTTTTGCACGATGAAATGGTCGTCAATATTTGAGTCGGGCAGAACTACTTTGTTCGACAACTTCAAAATCTCGTCGGATAAATCTTCGAGCAATCAGCTTTGTTCAATTAAATTTTGTCGTAAAAGTTTAATTTTAAATTCAGTTAGACAATGGTCTTGTAACCCGTTGTCAACCAGAAATAAAGGGGAATTTTTTGTTGTTGGTGAAATACCTCGCTCACCCTTTCCTGATTCGACAAGGAGAGCTTCTTCTTATTAAGTTCAGATTCCGAAACCCTAGTTACTTCCAATTCCTTTCTCTCCAAGTAACTTAGCAACCCTCCATCTTATTCCTATTCGTAATAGGATGCTCCATCCTATTCCTAATCGTAATAAGATTATTCTATTCCTACTCCTATACACAGCGCTTATAAATATCACTAGTCTCTTGCTCTCTCTCCCCATCAAAACTTAAGCAAACATATACAGAAACAAGAACCACGCACGTACTTCATTTTTCTTTTTGTGTTTGCAATGGCCGGACCCCTTGTGCCTTATGCTTTCTGCTTCCAACCCCCGGACCAACAGATCATCAGTTTCTTTCTCTACAAGATGGCGGTTAAGCGTCAGCTGTTACCGCCACCACACGACGAGTATGTGCATGAGGAGGACCTCTTTGACTTCAAAGAACCATGGGAGATTTGGGAAGAATATGGAGGAGATCAAGACTTATATTTCTTCTGCGAGCTCAAGAAGACCAGTTTGCGCATCCATCGCAAGATTGGGGAAGGCACTTGGAGCGAAAAAGAACATGAGCTGGTTTACAATGAGAACGGAAACCCTATTGGGTGGAAGAAAAAGTTCCGGTACGAGAATCGAGGGTCAGATGACCACGGAGGGTGGATTTTAGATGAATATAGTCTGCTTGTTGGTGCTGACGGCCGTGCTGAAAAGGCCTCAAAGGATCGCTACGATATTCCTTTTGTGATTTGCCGGCTGCGGAAGAATCGCAGAAGTTGCGGGAAGAAGAGAAACAACTGATGATTAAGTGATGAGAGATTATGGATTAAGATATAAATTAACTGATGACATTGAAAATCCGTAACAATCTTTTAGAGGTTGTAATTTCGTTTCTTCAGTAGTATTATTATATGTAATATGTTCAATAATATGTAAGTTACATTTTTTTACACGCAAACTTGAGTTTAATCAAATTGCCTGGTTAGTGTTGAAATTTCTCATATCGGAAGAATGAGATAGAAAAGAAGAGTTTGAATATCCTGAACATACTCCACCTAATACCGAGGTTTTTTATAATAAACCCCACACATATCGGATGTGAGAATTAACAAACTGGAGATAATATCGGTGTTATTGGAAATGGGTTTTTGGCCCGTCTCTATGATAATTTGACAGTTAGCAATGTGCTTTCACAACAATAACCGAGTACCCAAATTTGAATCCCTACTTCTCATAGTTTAGATGAATTTAATGAAATAAAAATATCTTATACGAGATTTGTCTAAACTTCAAGTTATTCAAGGATTAAGATTTAGTTTCCTATTTCCTTAATCTTTTGTTAATTCTACTTCTATTTTTTTGTCTCACTACCCGCAAACCGTTTGGAACTGTAGTCTACAAACAGTTTGTGGATCATTTGATGCATAAACAGAAGGGACATATTGTTCTTATGTCACGGAAGCACAGCAACTGCATGAAACTCATCTCCTTCAAAAGCCAAAACAAGATTGCTAACAGATTGAAGTTATTCGACGGTCGACCAAATCCATCGAGCAAGGAACAAGGCCTTGCATGGTGGCAATTTCCACCGTTTGCACAATTTTCTGAGTTGGCTAACAACTTCTACAACCGGTTGCCTTCGAATTTCTCCGGCGCTTGGACTAGGGGCTCAAGGACGTAGAGATGGCCATTGCAGCGTACTGCTCGGAACTTCAGTATCTTGCGAACCCTGTGACCACGTACGTGCAAAGTACCGAACAACACAACCAGGATGTGAATCCGTAACGGAGAAATTTGGAAAACTACCAAAATCTATACCTGTATAGAATTATTATCACTATTTTAATCTTATCATAATTATAACCAGATTTCGATATAAGGTCATCTTTTTTTCTTTCGTGTTCTCGATCATCGCTGCTGACATACCTCCCTTTCTCTCGACTGCTTCCTTATGGAACTTGATACCCTAAATTCCAATGCCAAATTAAGGTTGAATTGAATTGCATTGCAGATCAGAGTGATTGCCCAAATTCGAAACAAATTAAACACAACCCTAGAAAATCAAACCGAGCCCCAAATTTGCCAACATCATCCAAACAATTTCTTTTCTGGGGACGACTTTGATACAGAGACAGATAGATTCAGGACATGGTTTTGGTTATTACATATTTGGGTTTAGGGTTTTGGTTATTTCTCTAAATTTCCCAATACTACATGCATAAATAAAGAGCTTTGCATAAATGACCTAAACCTTAAACCCAAATAGTAATGTTCATTGCGACCGATTAAGTCTTACGAAAAATGAAAGCGAGTAACAAAGGATTCAGGAAATAAGCATGCTAATCAACTAAGGTGAGATGTAAAAAAATGTAATACTTTTGTCGACAACGTTGTACAAACTCATTTGGCCCTTGGCACCAATTTACGCTGCAGCGAAACAGAGTACGAACTAACTACACAGTTTGATTTTACATCACCATCGTTAGAACACCAGGCATCTCAAGATGTACAGCTATGAACTCGTAGCAGCAAGGACAGCATTACGACACACCTGCCTCTGCCTAGGGCATGTCAAAAGTCACAACCCCCGTGCATAACCCAGAGGAGAAAAGAGACATGGTAAAATGAGTTTCTAAAAAAATAGGAACTGGTTAGTCATCATCTGATAAACAAACTATGTCAGTGGGTCCACCTGTATTTACTGGGTTCACACGAGCACTTCCTGTAACGGGAGGATTAGAAAGGTTCGACAGGTCACGGTTTGGGACCAAATTTGGGAGTGAGGGCGAACTACCTGGTGGACTTGCACCAGACCGAGAGTTCATATTCATAAGCAACCCCAAAGCAGATAAACTACGAAGAGCTGACAGATCCCCTGGATTTTTAGGCTGATGGGCCCTATTATGAGGAACAGATGGCTGTCCGGGGGCTGGAGAACGTGGAATATGAGGAAGTGAGGGAGGTGTTGCAGGGGAGTTGCTATGTGACTGTTGATTAGACATGGACGTTGAAGGTCTAAATGGTTGGAGATGTGGAGCTGGGGCACGAATCGTACCTCCACCTTGGGAGTTTCCTGTGGAGGAGATGGAACTGATGTGCGGCAGTCTTGCTGGGATGCTTGGAATAGGAGAAGTTGAAAGAGGAACAGTCTGCTGAGGTGGAGCTATATAAAGTGGATTTGTCGCAGGTGCAGGTGCAGGTGGGCTGGGTAAGGGGGCAGTTGAAGTCTGCAGGTTAGCTGCCGGAGTGCTGGCCAAGGATGAACCAGCAACTGGAGAATTTCTTTGTGTATCATGCATAGATAGCTGAACCAGCTGCTGAGTGAAACTGGAATTCCCATCTGCCAGATAAATAGGAATAAGGAGCGTAAGAGCAATGACAAAAAAGCACATAATCTGCAAGGATGGGGAAGTCAGAGCCCCTTCCACCAAAAAAATATAAACTTTATACACTTACAACAAATAGGCAGATTCAGTTTGTCAGAGTAGGCATAGTTTATGCTAAAGTGGTTTCGTAACCTATCACATACACCTAACTTCACAGCCAAACAATCAAATATTGAAACTATTTATACAGACAAGTTGAATTTTCCCCCTCGTCTCTCTCCCCACCCCACCCTTTTCTTTTCTCTCTGTTCTCCCTTGTCTGAGAGTGGATCCTTTTTTATGAATCCTTTAACCTTGTTCATTTAACATGCCATTTTTCTTCTTTTTGTACCTTCCCCTAGTTAAGTATTAATGACAGAACTAGCTTAACGTAAGAACCAAGCTATCCCTGAGTCCAAAATCCTCATCTACTACGGCTTTGCACTCCCACCAAGCAACCCATGGAATCTGAAGCTTGAAGTTTAAAATCTAAAATTCTTACCATCCCTCCTTAATCTCAGAAGGTCCAAACATTAAGGTTACTTCCCAAAGAATAAATTTCACAATCTCCAAAAGTCTAAAGGGGGTGGCTGACTTTTAATTACGTTCACTTGTAGCCGTCGTAGTTAGATGAAACTGAAAATTGAACGAAATAAAATCCAATGAAGATCCTTGATCTTCCACGGAAAATGAAAATACCATCCAAACTACATAATTGGTACATGAATGATAAAACAGATATCTCAAAAGTTGCAATTCAGAAGTCTTCCTACCTTGCTGCACTCCAGATGCACCTGATGCCCGAAGATCCATGCATTTAGACCGGAAAGCCTCAGCCAAAATCTTGTTCATTAAAACTTTGTGGTGTATCGAATCCAATTCCTTCTTTTTAAGGAGAAATTCAGCCTCAACCTCCTGAGATCTAAGTTCATATTTTCGTTGAATTTCAGCAACAGCCTCCTCTATTTCCTTGTCGCAATCACCCTTCAGTCGTAGCTTCTGTTCAAGACAAAAATGACCTCAGCAGAAATTTTTGCTTTGAAGAATAAATAAACAACAATATATTAACTTCAAAACTGACCGCATCTTCATGAGACTTAAGCATATGATCTGTTTGTTTATTCAATCTTTCCAATTCATATTGAAGTGGGTCAGTGTATGAAGGCAGTGGTGCTTGAGATCCCCCCTGGGGTGCAGCATTTATAGGAAGACTATTAAATGCAGATGTAACAGGTGCAGCACTTGTGTCTGAAAATGACAGTTCAAATTCACTAGTAGAGGATGTGACAGGCCGCAAAACAGTTTGATTTGAAAGATCAGAAATGTTCTCAACAAAATGCATTGAAGCATGAGAAACTTGGTTAGAGGTACGGTATTCGCTAGGTCGAATTTCGACTCCACCAGCTGAAGATAACTCAGGAGCACTATTATCAGGTGTATTATAGGATGGCTGTTGCACTACAGTCTCAATGTCTGGCAATTCACGATTAGACAAATTGGATGCTACAGTCGGAGCAGATTCGGGTGCTGTATTTTCAACTTGTTGGCAAGTATTCGACTGTTTGCTGGCTTCTGCATCTTCTTGCTCTGCATCAGATGTTTCTATCAGAGTACCTTTGTCTTGGTATGCCTGGCCAGGTAAGCATTTGTCAGTATGTGAAGGCTAAATCACTCTCTCTCTCTCTCTCTGATTTTATTGGAGAACAAATTTATTACTGAACAATGAATATGAATACCTCCTCCTAACATGAAAAAACCAAGTCAAAACAAAATCATATAATGGTGGATCACTTACATGATGTTGTAAATATAAAATTTTCATCGGAAAATTACAAATCTAAGCTTGTCATAATTCTCAAGATAAAACAAGGTGACTACCATATAGATTGACAAATTCCAATAAGCAAATACCTGATCTAGTGTCGCTGAACCACCAGGAACCAAGGCCACAGGATGCACTCCAGGTGAATTTACCAGGGGCATTTCCTGATCAGAGCTTCCATTGGTCATAGTATCAACTCCATTCTGCTGGTAAGCCCCTGGTGCACTACCAGACGCTATAAGATCCACTTCACTGGTTTCTTTTTCAGTAGGTTTTTCACAGATTTGTTCATCAGATGAAGGTGGAACCAGAGAAGCAAGATTCCCTTGCCCATCATCTGAACTGACAGTCTGCAGCACTGACAAATCAACCTCTTTAGTTGGCATGTGTACTGTCACTTCATGGATTTGTTCTTCAGAGGTAGGTGACACAGGCGGAACATTGTGGAGACCATGACTTGAACTGACAGGCTCATATTCTGTTGATTTTTCAGGGATTTCTTCTTCAGATGAAAGTGGATTCACAGAGACACAATATTCCAGTCTATCACTGGAACTGCTAGTCTCAAGCACTCCCGAATCGACCTCTTTATCTGGTATGGTTACCATCACTTTATGGATTCGTCCTTCAGATGGAGGTGGGTTCACAGAAACGTCATGCAAATCATGACTGGAACTGACAGTCTCATGTTCTGTCACTTTTTCAAGCATCTGTCCTCCAGCCAGTAGATCCACAGAGACAAGATTCCCTAGTGCATCATTCAAACTGACAGTCTCAAACACTTCTGATTCAACCTCTTTATCTGGCATGGTTCGCTTCGCTACGTGGTTTTCTTCCGGTGAAGGTTCCCTCACAGAAATGACGTTTTGCAAGCTATGACTCGAACAGGCAGTCTCAGGCAATCCCAATGGAGCCTCTTTGTCAGGCATGTTTAATGCAGCCCCATCAGAAGGCAGATTTGAGGGATGTGGTTGGCGTGGACTATCAGTTGAACAGACTGCTCTGGGTACATCCAGTCTGACCTCCCCATGATATATGGGTGATCTGTCTGCACTGGGTATCCGTTCTTGAAATGGAAGACTGGAGGTGACAACTTTCTGAAAGCCATCAGTAGAACTGGCAACTTCTGGAACATCCAGCTCCCCATTACCTGCAGCACCTCCATCAGTAATTTGCGCTTTGGCACAAGGATTCACCGATACCACACTCTCTTGAACATCACTTGAACTTTCAGCTTTGTTTTTAGTTTTACCCATGAAATCAGTACATGAAGCTGCCACAGAAGTCATATCTAACGCACCAAGTGGCCTAGCAGGGGTCTCCTCAGTTCTAATGGGGACAGTATGTGCTACAGCTTCAGCAGGAACACTTTCTGGAGTTGGAGATGGTCTTTTAATTCCTCCTGTCCCACTATGCACAATACTGTCAAAGTCATGTACTCTAAAAGTGGCAAAATCTTCATGATCTTCACTACTTTGACAGTCACTAGTTCTTGAGCATTCCAACCAAGGCTTAAGTGTATTTGAGGGTGATCTATCCAACAATTCAGCACGAGCCCAGGCTTGTACTTCCTCTACCCATCGTTTCCCCATCTCCCTCAATTTAGTCCTTGCTTCCAACTGTGAGGCCTCAAGATGCTCAAGACGTAGGTCATGCTGGTTGTTATTTTCTTCTATTTTCTTTTCCAACATCTTAAGCTTATCTGTCCTCATTGATGTACTATTCTGAAAACAAGATCGAATAACAATTGTCTCTGCTTTAAGCTCTCTTTCTAGACGCCCCTTTTCTTCCTCATAAGTTCTCAAAACTTCACTATTATCTTTGCTTTGCTTCTCAATAAGTTTTTTCATCTTCTTCTGGAGCGTTTTCTGAATTCCTTTAATACTTTTTGAGACATCTTCTTGTGCAAAATATTCTTGACTTGGTGGTAAGTCTTTAATGTCTGATTTGACATGCTGCAAGTTAGAAGTTATTGGCTGTGAAGCCTTTGCATCTGAATTCTTCAAAACATCTTTACTTGATAAATTAGAAAACTTTGGAGATTCCACAGCCTTAAAAGCCCCTATACTGTGTAAAAATGTTCTTTTCAGACACCACAACATCGAATAAACATACTCTGCCTCCTCCTTTTTGCAATTGAAGTTAAGATGCTGCTTTGCAAGTGCAAGAGATTCTTTGTGGTCAACTTTTTGCCTCAGAAATGAAGCTGCAAGCCAACACTGGAATATAGATATCAGAAAGTCGGTTAAAAAATGTTAACATGCACATGTAACCAAGCACTGATGCACACATAAAAGTAAGGATGTTCCCCAACCTAGCATCACACAGAGAAATAAAGAGAGGTAGTACTCATATGTGGTCGAAGTTACAGTCATAGTTACAGCTACAGACATTGTGAAGGAAATGCTTGAGAACTGTGGAGTACTGAGTTTAATTGGAAAATCACAAGAAAATACCATGTAGATTTCAAGTTTAGTTTTATGTAACTAAGCTCAATACTTCACAATTCTCCAACACCCCTGTTCTCTTTTGAGATTTCCAAACTTCCCCAAATTAACTTAAGAATTGTGGAGTATTAAGCTTAGTTGAAAAATAAAAAAAGAATACAAGATATATGGATTTAAAACACAATTATTTCTTTCAAAAATTAAGCTGTTAGTAACGATAGCATTTTTCTTGACTCAAGAAATTCTTAATATCACCTAATGGGACGAAAACATGAACCAGACAGTTTTGACAATTTAGTGATATTCAAACTCCATTGTCTTCATAGAAGTATATCCATCCTTGCTTAGTTTACTTTTTACAAGAAACTTAACCTTTCAACCCATAATAATAGTGACATTTCATGGTGGTCTGCAAATCAAGTGCACTGCAGAAGCATCACCATCACTCGAACATGATTAGCGTAGAATTTGATCAGGTCAAGCTAGGCAGAGTGCAGCACCATCATACAATGCATAATTTATATGTAAAACTGAACCGAGGATTTATAAAAGTTATCTTATGTCTAGGCAAAGGAAAACAAAATTTATTCTTTCAACAAGCAAGACATGAGGTACCTTCTTGCTATCATTTGTAAGAGGTGTTTGTAAGCCTAAATCAATGATTCACTATAACATATTCAGTGACAACATATGAACATTTCAGGGTAAAAGGAAAAGCATGAATACCAAGTCAATACTTAAAAAATCATTCACAACCAGTAAGATATATGATTATTGAAGGAAAGTAATATTAAAGAACTTTGCAATTCAACATACCAACAACAAATAAGAGAAGGTTAGGCTATATAAGTGCATGAAAGAGCAAGACAATTCTAACCAGAGATATCTGAAATGCCTGCAAAATTGTCGCTGGTTCTCTATTAACATGGTGATTACTCATTACATATTCCAGAAATAGTTCGGCCATAACCTTGACAGCATCCTGCAGTGAGTAACCAAGATATCATTAAACGAGAGAACCATGTTTTCCTGGGGTGTATTAATGGAAATACCAGTTAATAACAGCAGCACATATGAACACAAACATGAAGGCAAAAGGTTGTAGACAAAAATCAAATCCATACTGAGACTTGTAAGATTCCACATAGTCTTAATATATCTGGCTTCAGAAGTTCATGGAGACTTTTCTGGGCATCACACAATTTTCTTCTCTCCTCAGACTCGAGCATGTTACGTTCCGGATTATTCACATTATCTGAAGTGGAATCACGAATTGCATCAGTTACTTTATTTGCACAGGCAGTTGACCGGTGAAAAGAATGAAGCAAATTATCTGCCGCAGCCCCAGAAATTCCTGCAAAAGATGTTTTAAGAAACTAGAAATGGGATCCAACAATTCTACAGGACCATGACATTACATCATAATTCTTGGAAAAATGCCGTGACAAAATGAAACAATTCACAATATCAGTCATTTACCTTCCTTGCATCCAGGAACTGATTTCACCTCTGATCCAGGCTTCGGAGAGGGTGCATCATCATTACCATTTACCACCTTCCCGCGTTTTTTTACAATTTCTGGTTTCTTCAGTAACTCATCAAAAGGTTGTACTCGTTTCCGATTCCTCTGAGACAAACCAGAACAATATTTCCACTGAGGATGCTTTGCTTCCAACAGTTTTGTCCAAAAACTAAGAGGCTGTCCTTCACCAGTATATTCATTTTTCATCTCACTAAGCAACGGAACCTCCAAACTGTATGCTCCTCCAGTTTGTTGAACTCTTAAAATCTTAGAGTAATTACATGAGCCACTGTTCTCGCCATCCTGAGGAAGTATGGAGAAGAACTCCTGGACAACATCTTTCAGAAGTGATTCTTCAGACAAGATATTTCTAGTAGGTGCTGGGGTGTTGCAGCCATGGAACTCATCTAGTTTATCAAGTTGATAAGGTGCCCCCCATAGAAGCATACTACTGCTCACATTCTGTATGTCACTATCAAGAATCTTCCCTTGTTTTGCACAAACTAGAACTTTCTCCTCCACCGTACAAGTTGAATATAAGCGAAATACTTTTATACGTTCAAACTGGGAATCAAGTGATATCTTTTGCAGGGCTTTTATATCATTATGTGGAATCCAGTCACTACCAAATATGATGACAATATCAACTGATGACAGTTTGATGTTGGGGAGACAGGCACGAGCCTCCAGTAAGAACACAAATCTACCAAACTCCTTATTGTTGAACATGTTCATAGCAGCATCTTTCTTAGAACGAAGGACACCACATTCGACGCGCTCATAGGAATTTTCACCATATCTTAGACGCAGAAAATCATCCAAAATATCTCCCAGAGAAAAAGCTTTTCCTGAACCACCAATTGACTGGTAAAATAAGGGACAAAACCAAAAAGGAAGATGAGAAGAAAGAATAATAAACCAAAGAGAAGGATAAAACTAGATCCCTGTCTACAAATAAAACTCCTCAAGGAAAGAGAGACAAAGTTATACAAACTTTATATGATTTAAAGTGCCCTCAAAATACATCAAGTATCTCAGAAAGTTTTACTGTGTTAGTATTTGCACACTAACGAATCACAAGAGTTTAATGACAGCAGAACAAAGGACCTACTATAACACTCTTAACAAAAGAAAAAGAAAAAGATATCTTGTCCATATACCTGTTGTCTATCATTGATTTTTCTGGCCCTTGGATAAATTAAGGAAACTCAGTAAATTCATACTTTATGGATTGCTTGATATTGTAGGGCTGGTCAGGTTCACATCCTTATTCATCTTTAATACTTTATTTGGACAGAAAAAGTGCATCTAGAGGCACATGGAAGAGAGAACACATATAATTAAATCTAAATGTGGAAGCCAGAGCCAGTTGCCAGCTAGAGATCGACTACTTATTCTTGTATGGTGGTTTTGAGCTTGTCGCTCAAGCTGTGTGAGGAGGGAAATGTTGTTTGCTAGCTGATTTTTTGGGTGGTTTGTTAAGCGAAGTAAAAATAATTACTGAATACTACAGAGAAGTACAAATTGTTGCTAGCTGATTTTTTGGGTGGTTTCTTAAGCGAAGTAAAAATAATTATTGAACACTACAGAGCAGTACGAACTGTTGTTGGGGGTGGGTAAAGTTGAGCCTCTGTTTGGCCATAAGTTAGTCAACGTTCAGGATGTTTTGTTTTGGGCGATCTTTTCTGATTGGAGTGCTGCAGTGGTTTCAAGGGAATAAATATTGTTTCTTACATTGATATATATATATATATATATATATATATATCAATGTTTTAAAAGGGGGTAAGGCTAGCCGACATTCACCTCTCCCAGACCCTGCGTAAAGCGGGAGCCTTGTGCACTGGGTACGACCTTTTTATATATATATCAATGTTTTAAAAGGTGAAGGCAAAGCCAAGGTGTTTCATGGATTGCCTCACCTAGGCGACAGCCTCGCGGTACCTAAAATTATTATAATACTCATATATTACATATAATACTTTGTAAAACAATCAAGCAATCATGCCAAGCAATCAAATATTTGACTATTATTATTATTTCTCTAATTTGCATCATAAAGTCATAAGAAACTATTAGAAACTAAGTTAGAAACATAAAATGCGCATGAATTTTATAAAAACCCAGCCGAAAATTATGTCATTTTGGGTTTGGGCTGTTTAAAAAAAATTTCTAACCCCCAAGTCACCTGAGGTGTTTAGGCTAGTCTATAGCCCACTCCTGCTGGGCAGAGGCTTTTTCTTTATAGCCCCACCCCAAAAACCGCCTAGGCGAATCTTAACAACTAGTTTTTTAAAACACAGATATATATATATAATTTAGTGTGTGCGTCTGTTTATATATATCATGTGATTTTTTTATAAGACCAAATAACAGAAAAATTGGGAGCAGCCTCTCCATAAATGGGGGTAAGGCTAGCCGACATTCACCTCTCCCAGACCATGCGTAAAGCGGGAGCCTTGTGCACTGGGTACGACGACCAAATAACAGAAAAAGAGATCTCTATAAATTCCAAACCTACAGATGCCCACAAAGAGTCCCAAAAGCGCACCTTTCCCATAAGAACACCACCTCCACACCCACAACATTCTCAAAAATCTTCTTATTCTTTGCCACCGACAAACTTGTTGCTTTTCAGATAATAATGCATTACAAGACATCGAAATGGACAACATAAACCTGCTTCCTCAATTAACCGAGCCAACAAAGAAAAATCCGCTGGAAAGTGCAACAACAAATGATCCAACCAAAATGCATCATATACTCAAAAACTCAAAAATAGGAAGCTAAGCCACATGATCCAATCAACAAATTATCTCATTCCACATGTTTAAAGGATGGGAACAACCTCCCAAAGAAGTCAAGACCAAAACTACCACATTCAATATATATATATACATAACAAATAATACTAAGATTCTAAGAACAACAGTTCTAATAAGGATTAACTACGACAAATCGCATACCTGGAACAGGATAAGTACTCTTAAATTTCGATTCTTTATCTCCTTAAGCATCATGTCAAGAAGCTGAAGCTTGCCACTTGCTTTGATCCCTACATCCAAATACTCAACTGCTTGAAGGTCTTTAGTAAGCAAGGCTTGTAAGGGTGGGTGCACAATGTAGGGGTGATCACAGCACTGTCAACAGAGGCCATACAAGCGACTTAATTAGAAACTAGTAGGGTGGTGGAGGATGGAGAAGAAAATATGCAAACCATAGGAAAGTCACTTGCTTTGAATACCCATTGCACAAAGCACAAGGAAAGTCAAATTTCAAACAAATTCAAATAATATCTTCCTTTGTTTTAAGTTATCAAGCACAAATTAAAAATAAAAAACAACAATAATTATAGGAAAACAAAATCCAACGAACTTAATAGAAGAGAAGGTTGAAACTAATAAATGAAAACATGTCATTACAGATCTTTTCTAATTCCAATGTGTATTATGTTATATGTATACCATATACAAACAACTTGAATTATAAATCACTAAATTAAATGAAACTAAAATTACTAAATTTCCATAAGATAACTATATTAGTAGTGTTAACTTTTTAAAGGTGCAAAAACCACATATTTTATATTACCTAAACAGAATCAACATAATGAAGGGATAACTCAATAATATAATATAATATAATATAATATAATATATATATATATATATATACACACATACATATATATATGTATGTATGTACAACAAGGACCATATCCGCGCCAACATAGTAAAAGGTTGTACCCAGTGCACAAGGCTCCCGCTTTACGCAGGGTCTGGGAGAGGTGAATGTCGGCTAGCCTTACCCCCATTTATGGAGAGGCTGCTCCCAAGTCTCGAACCCGAGACCTACCGCTCATGGGCGAAGGCACTTGCCATCGCACCAAGTGCGACCTCATAGTAAAGATAGAAAAATCAAAATGAGATGATGGGATGGTATTATCAAACCAAATAAAAAGTATGACAATCTATGACAACATGGAATTCAAAAGTTACAGTAGATGATGAAAAGACACAGAAGTAATGCTTTGATTAACCATCATACTAGAGAAAAGTGCAACCAGCTAACCTTCCGAGCAGCTAGAGTTGCATCATAGAGTGCTTTTTTTGATAAAGTTATATCTGCTCCAACACGATCGTTCTTTGCCAATGAGAGAACTAATGTGGAGTTTGACAGTAAATTTTCACAGTACTGCTCTAGCTGGACAGTTGATATCTGTACAGGAACCCAATACTCCCTAAACCTGGGAGAGTCAGGTTCGCATCCATTAGAAATATACCTTGAAAGCCTGTCCTTTAATTTAACAATAATATCACTGCAACTGCTTAGGAAGTGATCACCAGTTTGTGAATTGCTTTCAGAATCAAGGAGACACAACAAACAGAGGTACTCAGCCCTGCTCTTCTGCAATATTTAGCCTTGCATAAGCCAGCCAGTAGAAAGCAATCTCCACCACCACCCAAAAAATAAAAAGAAATATACTAACATAGAGCACGATAAAATACAAACCTTAAGTACTCCACTGACCAGGAGAAGCCACTTACGGGTACGTAGCATCTTCATCTGCACCAACTGTGTAGAGATAGTAGGGTGGTGGCACGCATCAATTATGATAGTTTCCCATCGTATGTGTTCGAATATATTTTTATCCTGCAGAATAAAAAGACAGTTTAACAACTAAGTCACTATTGTCTAAGGGATCCTACAATCAGCGAAAAAGATACCTCAATAATAGCCTCTGGTGAGTAACAAGTACTTGAAAAATGCCACCAGCCTCATCAAACTCTATTGACCTAATACTTCTACGTAAATCTTTATTTCCACTGTAAACCACAACATTCATAGATGGTGCCAAACGGGAGAACTCATCCTCCCAATAACAAAGTGTAGAAGGAGTTGAGATGATCAGAAAAGGTTGATAGGCATCAGACTGCAAATATCGAATAAATGCAATAACCTTCGCAATTCGTTCCTGCAAAAACACAATTTTTTATAAGTTCACTACTTCACATAAAACATTACTAGGTATGGATTTAGTCTAAAAACTAGACGTTTTCTCTTTAGTTCCCATTAAGCACCATCTTGCTGCTAATATACGAGTGTAAAGAAGATAGTAAATTGTTCTAAAGTCCCTAATCAAACCCTTTTCAGTTAAAAGAACAAAACATATTTCAGAGTAGGAAAATTAAAATGTAAACCAGTTTACCGTAATCATATGTCAGAAAATTATGTGAAAATCCTTCTCTTTCTATACCCAACCCTTTCCTATAATTTGGAAGGTTTAGAGTACCTCCTAATGTAAAAATACTTGAACAGTTGTTCACGGTAGCTGATACAAGTGACTTGATTCAGAGGAGAACTGAAGTGTCTTCTTTTCCCATGGTGTAATGGAGGGAGTGAATGTGCTGATCATCTATTCCTCCAATGACCAATTGCATAGTTCTTGTTGGTGAGAAACACAAGGCTTTTGGTGGGGGGAAGAAGGCAAAAGCTTTAGGAAGTTGAAGTGTGCTAACAGTGCCGTGGTGATTTGTATGGAAAGAAACAAAAATGAGTTTTGAAAACTATAGTAGGGAGGTGGTTGAGATTTTATGTACCAGAGTGGTTTCACCTGACTTTTGGAATGTCCCCTTATCCTTAATTTTAGCATATTGGAAAGCCGTTTTAATTATTTAGAGATGTAAACTACCCCATGCTAGCTCGAGCATGACACCAACCCAACACAAATAAAACAGGCTCGACACAATTGTTAAAGAGTCTTAGAGAGTTATTAAACACATTTTTCTCTTTGATCAATAATATTGTTCTATTTTCATTTATGATTTGATGAAGTGGACATCTTTCTGTTGTACTTTTATGCGCAAGAGGAAGCAAATTCTAACAAAAGTACCAAATATCAACGTCATAGGTGAAAGCGAAGAAGTAAACAATCTCAAAATAAGAACACAAGGGATTAACGTGGTTCGGCGTACAGCCTACATCCACGGCAAAGCACGGCGAGGAATTCACTAAACAAACAAAGATTACAAAAGTGTTTAAACTCTCACAACCCAAATCCCACAAATTATAAATCCCACAAATTGTTTAAGGAGATTAGAGTTAGTTGGGTCATTCCAAAGGGTTGTTTCGAGCTTCTAAGCACCAATTTTGAGGCTCTAGGAATTGGGAGGAAAGCTAAAGCTTTGAGGGGTTGTCTGGTGTCGGCAGTTTTTTGGAACATTTGGTAGGAGCGTAACAAAAGAATTTTTGAGGATTATACTGGTGTGGGGGTAGCAGATCTATGGGCAAGAGTAAGATATTGGGCAGCCCTCTGGGCTTCAGTTTCGAATGATTTTAATAATTACTCTCCTTCTCACATACTGTGGGATATGTTAGCAGCCGTAAAGTGATTTTGGTTCTTAAACTCACAAATTGACTCTCACCAAATTGCAAAACAAATGAGCCTTGAATTTGCCACACACTCATGACTCCAAACAGTGACCTCCACCCAAAACCCAATGAGAGAAAACTCTCCAAACTAATGTTGAGGCACACCAAATAAACTAACTCTAAGGTCCCATTTATAGTGCATAGGACTTGGGTTACAATGAGAATCCTAATCCTAATTGGAAGTAAATCCAAATCGTAATCAAATAGGTAATTAACAAAATCTCTCCACCAAACAAGTAAGCCAACCAAGAGGTCAAATCCAAACCCAAATAGGCCACCCAAACGAAATAGGTAACGCAAGCCTAATTTCTGCATCATCCTAATTTTGAGACGTAAATCACAACACTTTCCACCACCGTGGAACTCTATTTTGCTTAACAATAAAATTTGTTTCTCAAGAAAGCAAACAAGTAGAACAGATCAACTGTATGTGAATATATATATATATGAACATCGAATCATAAACCCCACGTCAAGATAATGTTAATGGTGAACCAAAATGTTATCTAAACAGCTGTCTAAAGTAAACTAAGCTTACCTTATCATCAACAACAACAGCATTCTCACCCTTGTGCCACAGCTCGCGTAGCTTGTTAATGTTCTCTAGACATGAATTATCAAATCTGGATGAATCTCCAGCAAGCAGTTCTGATAAATTCACTGTTAAAGACTTTTTGCTTTCAAGTATCTGCAGATAATGCTAGCATTAGCAACAGAAGAATCGTATAGTCATAAGCATACTCATATGAACAAAATGCAGACTCAAAAAGTTCCCTTCAAGGATAATCAATTTTATAAAAGACAAAAGTACTCTATATACTCAAAATCTTAAATGACAGTGAACAAGCAGAAAACACATGAAATCAAGACAGCCCACCCTTGGAACTTTGAAAAAACATAGCATCCTTTAAAGCGCACACAGAGAGTTCAAATCGTTATCCATTATAATCAATCACAGAGAAGCCTTTTGTACTCAAAGAAAAATGATATAGAAGCCCTCCACCAATCATAGAAGGAAACGAAATATCTTACACTTCAAATTTTGGAGATTCCATTATCGGTTTCAACCATGCTTAAGACTAGACAACCAGTAAGTTCCTTCTCACTTCCCACTTACAAATTAATTCAAAACAAATAAGATAGATTTAGATCTCAATGGTAAACAAGTAAAACGTGGAGGAAACTGACACCTTCAACATACTAATCCAAACAGAAATGCATTTAAATCTAGAACTAGGTTTCATATATTTCATCATATAATTCATGCCTTTGGCACCTTATCCATTTCAGAGGACTTCTTCACCCTCTGCCGGCGCCTTTCATAATCTCTTATAAGGCCCTGACCCTCAGGTGAATCAAAGGATGCAGCATTCTCTAACTCCCAAGTAGCATCGTCATAATCAAGACCGTGCCATTTCACAAGCCATTCATACTGACAAAATAAGTTATCACCAATTTGTTCCCCGAGATAGTTTTCACGCTGCTTGGGAGACATTAATGATCTCCTTTGTAGCAGCCGATGTGGAACTGTCCACTCTTTCCTCCACCTTGTGACCTGAAAACAAAAAGGAACTGCTTAATATACGAAGAATTATTTATCTTAGAACTCCCCAACAGCAGCTGGTGTGCAATGGTCGCTTTTGACTTAAGGTTAAGGGTAAAGAAAAATGATCTAACAAAGCTATAGAGTATGATTTGAATTCTGAAGAAAAAGAAATTTGAATCCATGCAAAGGCATCTCAATCCCATGAATAAATGTCAGATTCCCTTTTTTGGGGTGTTTCACATTTTCCATTGATAGATATAACAAGTATAACAGAACATGTCCACCAAAACAGAAGTTGAGGAAAAAACGGACCTGGTTATTTCGGTTGAACATTGCCACAAGGGTAGGAGCTTCAAGAAGAACTCTACTTCTTGGTACCCATTGGTTGTGAATATGAGCAAGACCTTTGTATTTAACAAAGAACTCCTCCCTCTTTTGCAATCCTACAGGTCAACCAGGAAAAACAAAGGACCAGATATTTGTTATTAAGAATAGTCATCCTACATATAACGATCGCAACACAAAATAAAAACTTGAGAAAATAATCCAAAACACCGATGAAGCTAAAGTCCCATAATTTCTGCATACCATCAACATCAGATACCTCTACTTCTCTAGCATCCCAGATTGACTCTATTCCCTCTGACACCGAATATATACCAGATACTAACTTTTTTCTAACACACATGGGACAGTACCAAAGTCCAAGAGGAACATCATCCATAGGAGAATCTAGACAAGAAAGATGGTAGCTTGTCCTGCATCCTCTTCCATTACAGCACCTGAAATTGAATACAAATTCTAAGAACAAAAAACACATTATAGAAGCAAATGCCAATGAAGCTTAAAGAAAAAAGTTCCATATTGTGAAGGTGTTCATTTATGTGCAAGTACAACCATTACATATGCCTCATTCTAAAAAACCGCGGTGTCAGCAAACGTGAAGGACTTTAGGCCAGCTAGTCCGGTGTCCAACAAACATAAAAGGACTTTAGGCTGGTTAGTCAGGTGTCCAGCTTTACAAAAACTTATTGTAAAAATGTTGGCCTCATGATTAGGAAAAGTGCTGAGTGATACAATCTCGTGCGCTTAAGGTGGGCTTCAGTGAAAGAGAGGCAGATTTTGGAAGATGTACTAGTGAAGAGGTTGAAGAAGTGGAAAAAACGAAAGTAGGGTGTGTCGAAAAGCTCCATCAGAAAGGCCTTCCGCTGCATATTATAGAGTCATAGACCAATTGATGCAGTAACTTTAGTGGGGTTATTGGTCTTACTAACTTCGATTATGTGTATATTCTGTGGGTGCTGCTTTTTTGGCTCTATTTGTATCTGGATGAAGGTGGGTGCCTTCTCCCCGGATTCTTTGTACTTTGTAATCAGTTTTCAGATTTAATAATTATCGTTTCTCCTAAATGAAAGGAAAAAAAAGATTTTCCATATCATTTAATACTAAAGACACTTGCAATAATCAAATGTCACAAGAAAAGGTTACCCACAAGAGCTTCCCACCAAGAGAACAGATGAGGCATGTATTTTGGTCGCCATTTGTTTGAAATTCTACAGAAAAGTCCTTTTGCTGCATACCATTAAGCTTTTCAGGAACATCTGTCGCACTATCAGCTATGAGTTCTCCCCTATACGGATGCACCTTTTGAGAGAAATGAAAAAGACAAGAAACCACTACAAGATCAACAACTGATATAGCAAACATAAGATGAAACTAAAACCATAAGGTTTTAAGCTAGGTAATGTGCGCTAACTAGAAATTTGACAAGCAAAAGTAATTTGGGGGATCAAAATCAAATAACCGACTAAAGACACTATTATTCACATCCCCCAAACATTATTCATGATCCAAGCAAAATAACATAAACAGTAAAACAGCAAACAAAAGTTTATAAGTACAATCTCCACAGCATAATGGACATGATCCCATAAAATGTTCCATTCAACCATCTGAAGACAATATCTGTGGTAAAAATAAAAATAATGACATACAAACAAGTCATTTGGAACATAAGAAATTTTTTTTTTTATATAACAAAATAAACTAGAAGTATGTCAGACTCAACTCCCAAAAATTTCCCCTTCAAATTTCTACAAGGTTACTACTGTCAAAACCATCATTAACAATAACTAATTTCCTTAACACCAAAAAACAAATTCCAAGTCGGCTTCATAATTCATTGTCCTCTACTAACTTACAATGTTTGTATAACACCAAAACTAATTGCTAGATCCAATATAATGCTCCTTTTGACATCGTAGCCACATTTAATTAACTATTATAATCACACCAGCTCTGCATGAAGCAAGAGATAAGAGATCCTCTACAAACCATATCAAAAAAATGACACCAAACATGGAAACACCTCCCCACGCAATGAAACAAGACACATCACCAGAAAGAAGATAGAGATTAAAGCGAACGACAGTACAACTACCATAATATAAGCACTGGAAACCAACAAAAAATGTGGCAGGCCATAAAGAGAAATATGCTTCTTCTCTGAGAGAAACAAACTCAAATAAGATGGAACTGAACAATGGATTTTGAAAGCAGTAAAGAGCAAGAAGGTTGTGCCAACCTCAGTTGCTGATGTACTACATAACTCCTGATTTAATTTTGTGCTGCAAGAGTAAATCTCCAGCTTCGTTGGATCATTTTCCACCCTGAAAATATCACATGAGATACAGTCACACTTTCAAAATCAGAATGATATAAGAGTACCATGATTGCTCAACATTTACAAAATCTAAGAAAATAGCTCATGAGATACAGTCAATGATGAAATTGAGGTTCCACCATAAAACCAATTGGCAATATGGGGAGTAGCCCAAGACCATATAAGCACATAGCAAACCTTGTCCCTCACCAATATGGGACAACTCTCAACAGTCAACACTTTCAAAATCAGAATGTTATCAGAGTACCATGCTTGCTCAACATTTACAAAATCTAAGACAATAGCTAAGTATATATACTCGTAAAAATATCACACACCACGTAAAAATGGTTCTGTGATCAGCCTGTGTTTAAAAGATGGGATTCCATTTTGGTTGACCCTTATAACCAGTAGCCAACAGCAATACGTTGCAAAGTACCATCAAGTGGGGATTAAGGATAATGAAGTTACATTTAGCAGAAAAGTATAACCTCGAAAGTAATGTAGGAGACAGCAATAAATCAAGGGACACAAGAAGCGATCTTGATAGATAAACCCAAATAAATTAAAACACCGCACTCATTCTCACGTCCAAACACCTCAGTTGCCCTTTCAGGCAGCCACAAAGAGGGGAGAAAAATAAGTGGAAAATTTTCTGTCTGCACAGCTCCTGCCTATAGTGCAAGAATCACCTAGCCCACAACAAATGTATCACCAGATAAAAAAATTATAATATATATAATATTCAAACGGAAGTCACATTCAACTCAAGTTTAACCAAGGGTTCAAAGACATTCCAAAAAGGGAATGTGATTCACCACTCCTTGCATTAGCTTTACTCACAAGCCAATTCTTTACTGCAATTAATTTAGATAGAAAACTGAATTTGTTTGTGGTTGGTTTCCATCTGTAATTTGGCAAGTATAACATGACAGAACTTTAGTTCCTTTACAGATTTCGGACAAGAGTTTACAAGCAACACTTATGCAGACAAAGACATACACAACAGTGTCCAAAATACTCCAGATCTCTGCCTATATTATTGTCCTGACTCTCACCGAGTTTCTTTCTTAGTACCCTTTTTCTTAGCTTTCTCGGAAGAGGATCAACTAATGCTTCAAACCCATTATTATCATCACAGCAGCGAAAAGTATTGCCACACGTGTGGGTTTACTCCTCTTTACCAATTATTGGTATCTAACTTGTCTTCCATCCAATTTTAGAAGTAAACAAACTATAGGAAGGAACCCAGAGAGATACAAACAATAGGAGGAGCTTGCTTTCCATGCTTTTATATTCTGAAAAGAGACTTTTTACAAACAGGGGACAAGGAGTCCACTTCCATACTAAAGTCAAAATAACACATTTTACATCATTTGTCAGAGCTTTTGGTCTCCTTTATCTTTTTTCTTTTTTTCCACAAACAAAGTTTGAAAGCAAACCCAGAAAGAAAGATTGCAAAAAGAAGACCCGATTCTCTGATCTTAGACCATGAACAGAACAACTTGAGAGGGATTCAAGATTACCCAAAATCTCGCAAAGGGGGGAAACAAACCATAAACTTTAACCAGTTTTGTAGCAAACACTGAAAGCAAAAAACAGTGTAGCAAGAGATATTCTCTCTATAAAATGTGTGCTCTCTCTCTTAAATCTTTCTTAAGAATCTTATATTCCTGCAATATGTCTGGGAAATTAGGAATGCGAGGCCTTTGAAAGAGAGGAATGGTGAAGTCTGATGAGCTCAAGTGTTAATGAGCTCTTTTTGTCAAAATATTGGGAGTTTTACTCAAACTCCACTTTATTATACAAGTTATAAATTCAACAGTAACCAAACAATATTTTAACACTGTTAGTTGTTGTAGTCGTTTCATGATTACACCTTACCTGTTAGTTGACTCCTTTCTAGAGGAGGATATGTGAAACCATATCTAAACTTGAATTAGCTGGGTTGTAAATTCCAGAAATACGGATTCTAAAGTGGAAAGATGGCAAGTATAATAAATGTGAAAGGGTGTTTTCATACTCTGGGCCTCCAAGTAAATCAGTGGACTAACAGACTAAATTAATTCAATGGCCAGTAGATATAATTTCTTTTGGAAACCAGCACCAACAGATAAAAAGAAAATACGATTATTTTGTGCAAAGGAATACCTTTGTCGTTTCAAACATGCACCGCAAGTTCCAACAGGAGCATCCATTGTGGACCTAGATGGCAATGAGGAGACGGCATCAGCAATCAAGGTGCAGACATCTTTACTTCCATTAACTGCAGAAGAATCAGAACCCTCATCCTCCATGTTCCTTTTTCTCTTTGAGAGTGTAACACAATGACCCGTTTTCAAGCTCATGTGGAGATCATCTACACTTCCATTGACTGTAGGACCTATCAACTCTGGCATCTTCAAATGTTCCTCACCAAGGCAATACACATGTACCCTTGCAGGTGCATCACTGACCTCTTTTGTCGTGGCATTATAGGACGATGCCAGTGGTTGTTGACCACAAATTTCTAAGCCATCGCCATTTCCAAACTCAGAAGCTTCCTCCATGCAGCTAGGCCTTCGGCTTGAGTGGGACAAGTCCCCTCCCTGATTATCTTCCACTGTTTCGTTTGGAAATTTATTTACAGTGGAATCAGATTCCACTGCTTCAACGCCTTTACCAAGCCCATCAACCATGCCTCCACAATCATTGCCGCCACCCTCAGAAACTTTATTGTGCCTGCTCTGCTCCTTGCTATGTCCTAATATTCAAGAAGAAAAGAATGAGTGAAAAATGTATTGAATAATCAATACTACCGTTTAAAACACAAACAACAACGAAAAAGAAAACATGAACAATAAATTAATCACTCCCGGGAGAAAAGCCAAAACTCAGTTACCTTGTGCTCTAAGCTTCTTTCTTTGTTTCATGAAAAATGCCTTATAAGCTTGAGCATTTCTTATTTTGTTCTTCACACGGCCAGATCCTACACTTTTGCTAACTTCTCGAGTTGCCTCTGTCAATTCTTTTACATTCTTCTCTTTTTGTTCCCTTTTCCGCTTCATCAATGATGAACCTGAGCTTTTCTCTGATTTTTTAGACCCAGAAGAATTTGATGAGTGATTCTTGACTCTATCAGAAATCCTCAGTGGAGTTGGAGTCAACTTCTTCTCAAATCTCTCGGATTTCCTCTTGAATGGAGGAGTTTCAGAAATTTTTTTACCGAGTCTTTCAGAAATTTTTTTACCAAGTCTTTCAGACTTCCTAGTAATAGAAGGGCTCAAAGTTATGTTTTTCTTCAACGATGTTTCTCTAGCAGACCTCCTTAATCCAGATGTATCCGATGCTCCAGAACCTGAAGTACTTGATCCTTTACTGCTGATTTGCCTCCCTTTTGACTTACTATCCTCATCATCCTTCATTTTCCGACTAGATCGTGTATCATGTGCCATAATTATAACTGTATATCAATGGAAAAATGTCCAGATATTTTTTAGTGAGGACATCTGTAAAGCACAATAGTGTGACATCAAACAGGAATATCTAACATCTACACCATCAAGCAGTATTTTAGGTTAGAGTATATTAATACTTACTGAACATATAAACACCACTAGAAGTTCCTCTTTATTGGTGAGAAACACAATTTAATAAAAAAAGTGAGAGACTAATTGACAGATAGTAAACCAAAAGAAAACAATAGATACTTTGAACCTCATTGGATAACCTTATACAACCCGAGAGGCCTACATTATCACAACTATAACTTTAGAACTGACGCATGTCCTAACAAAGTATTTCTTGAACCCTGAATATTTGGAAAAGAACGACTTTGAATGTCGGAGACTTCTAAAATGCTGATAAAATATGTACCATAACTGCAAAAATGTGAGCACTTCATCTCTTCTTCCATCTACTCTCATAAACCCTAAATGGCCTAACCAGCGATATCATCAAACCAGCCTCCCCACCAGTTTCTATATCAACCACTCAGTGTACTATTGCAATTACCTAACAGGCAATGATGGTATTCTCTTTGCGGCAATGTCAATCAGTTCAGATTCCATAGGAGAAGGTACAGCACCTTGCCATTCCCTGAAGCTAGGCAATACATAAAGCTATCAATGCACCTTGACCCGAAATAGAAAGCACTCCAGAAAGGCTGATCACAGCTGCTAAAGCAAAAGCATGCACGCCACTATGCCAGTCCCTTAAGCTAGGCAATACATAAAGCTGACAATGCACCTTGAACCGAAATAACAACACTTCAAAATGGATGATCACAGCTACTTAAGCAAAAGATGCATTCGCCTGACGTGTGACCGTACGTTCACACCCAAATCACACCAATCTCATGTGTGAACTAAGCACATTAATCCCCAACTCACTCTAGCCTATCGCCTTCCGAACAACAGCTAATATAAGAGGCCAAATTCAAAAGAAGCAGATTCAGATCCTAATAGTACAATGCCATAGCTCATGACCCTATAAACGCTTATCGCCTGCCACAAACTACACCAACCCAGAACTTCCCCACCTTTAACACCTTGATTTTCCGTATCAAACCATATAATCCAAACCAAAACCCCAAACCCTAACAAGAACAATTTCAGTTCCAATTTCAATCCAAAACTAGTACAAAATTAAGCAAAATTTCCACAAAAATTAGAACAATATCGAGAGATTTTGACTGACCTGCATGAAAATCTTAGTCCATAAATTTTTTTGTCCTAGGACGATCAGAGAATGCTAGGGCTTTTACTTCAGTCCTCGCACGGAAATCATGGCCTGTGAAAAATTTTCGGAGGAAAATGAGGGACGCAAAGGGCAGGAGAAATGCTGAGGCGGTGAAGCTTTTGAGATTCTACTGCTACAGTGTGATGTTGCGTACTGCTGCATTGTGGGGGATGAAAACGTCATTTTATTTCTTTTAGTTTATGACCATTTTGCCCTTGAGAAGTAATCCTGGCATTCGTATGGTGTTTTCCATATTCATATCGTTTTCATGATATACGTTATGTCTTGTAACACCCATTAAAGTAAACGGGTAATATGACCAGACCCTAAATTGAGCTGTTAATATTATCAAGTATTATGACCCGATCCGTTACCTATTAAAGAAAATATATTTTAAATTAATAAATAATAAAAATTAAAAACATAATTTGATCCCAAAAAAATTGAAAACATAATAGTAAATTTGTATATGTATATCACATTGGCACATAAATATTACTTCAAAACATAAGAACAACATTTGTCTTTTAAGTATTACATGCCCCAAAATAAGAGTAATAAAAAACATTAGTACATTGTTACAAAATACCAAATGTTCAAGGATGTGCAAAATGAAAGGAGTTGTGTTTCGAGGTTGAGGAAACCTTACATATTTTTTACAATAAAACCCTTCAATTTTCATAGAGAAATGATATTTGTTTATTTGAACTCCCTTAAAAATACTATTCATGAAGGTTTGTATGGTTTTAAAAATTGAAACGATGATATACTATCCTCACAGCGCAGATGATGCGATTACGAGCGATTAAATATTATTTCACATTTTTTGCATTTGTAAATTAATTATTATATTTTTTTAATGTGTTTGTTATTTTTAAATTACTTGATATTTTTACTTTTAATGTGTTTTATAATTTTTTTTTAATCTCACTCCTTGCCTATAGTATACTATAAAAATAAATAAAACTTAAATTTTTTTTAAATTTATATAGAATAATAAAACAATAATACATATTTTAATATAAAATATATACATATACACTATAGCTATTGTATTTTATAGTAAATTTTTTTAAGTAGTTTAAAACATTAAAATCATCAAAATAATTTTTTCCTTAATGTGTACAAATGGGTTATCCGCGTGTCAATCTCGTGTAAACCTATTAAGGATCCATTATTAACGGGCTCTTATCGTGTGACCCGATAATGACCAGATTAGTTATCGTGTCGATACGAAACCCATTATTTTTGTGTCGTGCTAACATGTCGTATAAGAAATTATCAGGTCTATTCTCAATTGGGTGGTTCCATTTGTGTGTTTTAGTATAGGGGTACAATTTTTTAGGTACAAAGGTACAATTTTTGAAATAAATAGAAAAATAGACCAATAAGTTAAGAGAATTGTTATTGGCAGTCCAAAAATTTCATTTTGCACTCTTTTCAAGTGTTTTTTTTTTTTCTAAATATAGAAAATATGGAGTGTTGAATTGCCAATAACAATTCCCTAAATTAAAAGATTGTTGTGAAGATATTTTATATGATATGATTATGTAAATCTGTTGTAGATTTGGTATAGAATTCTATGAAATCTATAATTATGTGAGTTCATGGTAGTTTTGGTATAGAACCTAACTTTTACACTTTTGAATTATAAACTTTGCTTAAATTGTGTTCACATTATTTTATACAAATACTACTTGTGAATTTGATGATTTTGTGAAAAGAAAAAAAAAACCTAAAATCACAATTAAGCTACGGTTGGAAGTCGTTGCTCAACCAAGTTGTCGAGCCAACGTAACTAGTAACTCATGGCGCCAGCACCTATAGAAACGGCATCGTTGACGTTTTTTTTCTCGCCTCATCTACACTTCGATGGAACTAAAGCCCAACTCTTGAAACGCTCGTGTTCACCATGTTTTCTTCTGAATGGTTAAACGACGACCTAAATTAGGTCGAAGCCGTAGTTCGAATCAATGACGATTCACAAACGAGTTATGTTGAAACCTGAGTAATCTTGAAACCACACGACTCTGTGGCCATAAGTTTGCTTGAAACCACCCTCCCTGATGAGGATGACAATCTTAAGCTTAAGTTTCGACCTTACTACACCAGACGTCACTTATAATAGTGGGTCTAGTTTTTTTGGCGAAATAAGAATACACCCAACTTCAACTGTAGTGTGTCAAGTGAGACACACCCAACTTCGGCGGGGGTATATTGAAGAAAACCCTAATTCCTCGATTGGGGAATACCGAGTAAGTCATTCAAGTTCGATTAGTGCTTACCTAACGAACCCAAGACATGTGTCTTTGAAAGCGGGTCAACCATCGGGTTTTGCCTGACCTAAGCCCAAATTGGGCATGTTTCCCCTTTTGCCACAGAGTCGTGTCTTGCAACCATTCTATCTTACATTATAACAACAACAATAGCCCATTATAACAACAACAATAGCCCATGTTGCTTTTTTAGTTAGGTTATCTTAGCTCATTTTTACTATTTTGGATAGCAACCCAGCAAATAAAAAACAAAATTTTAGGGCATGTAGCCTATGTCAGCTCCAAAAACTATATTTGGACCGAGACTCTCTTTACATAGTAAGGGTGAGCACTTGAACCCAAAAACCGAAACCGAAACACGAACCAAATCGAACCGCACTGAACGATTTGGTTTTGTGGTTTTAAAACGGTTTTGGTTTGAAACTGAACTGAATGAAGAAAAAACGGTTTGGTTTCGGTTTCGGCCATCTGAAATAGAATCGAAACTGAAACCGAAACCGCATAACTTTATTAAATGTTAAATTCTAATTGGTTATTTCATTGAGTCCCTATGTTGATGTACAAAACCGGAGGGGTCTTGGAACAACGTAAATCCGACTGTGAATCTGCAAGAAAGTAAAGAACACAAGATGTATCGTGGTTCACCCCAATATTTGGGCTAAGTCCACACTGATATTGTATTTCTCTGAGAGGATTGTGAGGGAGAAAGCCTCTGTAATGTGGGAGCGAGGCTTTGAGAGGGTGAGAGTCAGGCCTAAGAATTGGCCTCTCTAATGAGGAGAGTAAGGAGTCCTTTTATAGAATAAAGGCTCCTCACTTATTACATATTTACCCCTTCATTTATTACATAATTACATTTGAGTCTCCCGAGTATTTATATGAGGTCTAAATACGGAGGTCCTAAGTATGGTACAAACACCATACATTTAGTATGGACTCAACCACATCATAACATGGCCACATAATCTCTTTCTTTTCTTTCTTTTAGTCTGCATTATTTCTCATTTGCTGCTCAACTTTATTGATTCTTCATTTAACTCTCTGTTTCGGTCTCCACTCTCCAGATATTCACAAATTGCATCGTTCCATTTCAGCCTTCAAACTATATTCGTGAATCAATTTGAACCTTCCTCTTCATTCTAACTCTCCATACTCTTCAGTCTGACTCCAAAAATTCGCAACCCCATACTCGCTCTCTTTGTCAGTCTCCCTTCCACTTCATTCTAGCTCATAGCCTCTAAAGTTCACAGTGTTAATATGGTAAGAACTATGATTTATAACTTGTTTTATTTAAGGGTAAAAGATTGTTTACTATTCTCATGTTTCATGGTTTTCAACATTTAGTACATCAATTTTTTTTCGTCTCAGAGTCATACTTAAAGTGTAAATTTTGGGACAGTTTCATACATTCGTTAGTCAAACTGTTAATTCTCCCGTTAAGTGATGACGTGGTGCCCATGTGGACAATGACTGGGCGCCACGTGTCATTAAAAATATTAAAATATTATTATTATTAAAAAAAAAAAAAAAAAACCCTATCGTCTTTCCCTTCTCTCTCCCTTCTCTTCTCTGCACCTTCCCCCACCCCCTATATTCCCCCACTGCACATCCAAATCAAGTAAATTAACCCGTCTTCCACCTCCCTTCCTTCTTCCTTCTGCAACATTCTTTTCGGCTCCCCCTTTTCTCTCCCCCATTTTTATCCCCCCTTCTCCACAACCACCACCTCCTCCACCATTCCTCTCCTAACCCCACCCCTCTTCCTCCTCATTATCCTGCACCCCAACCCAACCCCACCCCATGTCTCTCTTCCCCGATCCCCCTCATTCCTCCCTCTTAACCTCTCTCTCCCAAGCACCCTCCCTCTTCACCATGTCCAGTAGGTGTCCAGTAGGTGTCGAAGATTTCGTCCTCAGAGCCGCCCAGCTCCTCGAAGCTGCAGGACGGGCTTCGAACGGGTCCTAGAGCAGATCCAGGTCGTCGGGATCAGAAAATGGATCTTGGATTGGGTTCGGCGGTGGTAGGAGCCCCGGAACGGGGCTCTCGGAGTTGCGTCTGGCAACGGCTGCGCCATGCATCTTGAGAGCTGAAGCTCGGATCCGGTTTCGGGTTGGCTGGATCTTGCATTTTGTCAAGTCCAGTTTCGGTGTGAGGGAAGGTGCAGAGGTTGGGGTTGGGTAGATGCAAAAAAGAGAAGGGTATTTTGTCGAGTCCAGTTTCTGGGTGGGGGAAGGTGCAGAGGTTGGGGGTTGGAGAGAGAAGGGAGGGGGGGTCGGGGTGGGGAAGACGACAGGTTTTTATATATATATATATATATATATATTTTATATAATAATAATAATAATAATAATTTAATATTTTTAATAACACGTGGTGCCCAGTCATTGTCCACATGGGCGCTACGTCATCACTTAACTGGAGAAATAATAGTTTGACTAACGGATGTATGAAACTGTCCTAAAATTTACACTTTAGGTATGACTCTGGGACAAAAAAAAATTGATTTACTAAATGTTGAAAACCATGAAACATGAGGGTAGTAAACAGTCTTTTGCCCTTTATTTAAATTTACTCATATATTTGAGATTAATTTTATGTTAGGTTTAGGGTTGGGTTTTGAATCAAAAGGGGATTTGGTTTTTCGTTGGTTAGTCTTTAATTTTTCTTTGTTCATGAACATCAGAATGTCAGAATGTTGTTGATTGGTATTCCCATAAAATCCTAAAAATAATTGCACTTATATGTTAGGGGATTTTTATTTTTACTTGGATCAAATGTAATGTGAGTGAATATATGAATACCAAACGATAAATGTGAATTGCAAAAGAATATAAAGTTAGAATATTTTTGTCCATTGGTGTTGATGTTAA